AACGTATCACAATTTTTGTATATTTATGAAAACATCCCTTTGTATTTTTCTGTCCCTTCCCAACTTACCAACATTTTTTCTTATATAACAAAAAGATACAAGGGTTGTAAGACGTCCGGACACAGTAGACGAATTTATAGCATCCGATTCTGTTACAGCCTAAAAACCTGGGCACTAAATCAAAGAAGAGCCATATTTCACAAAACCCGACAAAGTTTCCGGAACATCAACTAAAATAATATTCCGTCATTGAGATAATATATTCTAATCAAATTATAGCATATCATAAGATTTGTTTCATAATATCTAAAAATGACATGTATGAGTATCTCCGTACTCGTGATACGTTGATATTAAGAAGTCTATGTTAGTCATTCTATCTATGTATTACAAAAAAATCTCGCTTAGATGTGTGTTTGTGCCTTTTTTAAGCGTTTCATTCCTGGGCACAACTCTCTCCTCAATACAAGGGAGTTCAGGCCATAGTCCACTACGCTGACCAAGTGCGGGTCTGTGGACTTCATATGTCTTCCGAAAATTAGGTTATCTCAAACATGCAGGTTTCCACATGATATTTTCCTTCAGCGTATTCAAGTGCTCAATCATGATGGAAATGATTCGCACATGAAAATATCAGAGGTGCGAGACTCGGGATTTGGTTTTTTCAAGCGAGCGGTTGCTACTGTGCTACCACTGCCTATGCTTACATTTAGACATAAAATAATAAAAAAATAAATCTAAATAGGCAAAATATAAGGTTACGTTAATCTAAGAAATAATTATATACCGTTACTTATCTATAGGTATATATAAAAAAATTGTAACTAAGCCGAATCTGTATATTAAATAGTTTTTGGAAAATCTTATTGAAATAAACATTATTATCGATACAGAGGCCGAGTTTTTAGAATTTTTGTCTGCCTGTCTGTCTGTTACCGCATCACAGAAAAACAACTGCAGGGATTTTAATGAAACTTGGTATGGTGATAGCTAGTTATCCGGGTCAACATATAGGATACTTTTTATCGCGGAAAATATCTCATTTCTGAGAAAAAATACAAAAACTGCAATGTATGAGTATAATATGTAAAACCTAAGAATTTGGTTTTTGGTCATCTGAACGTGGGCGGAGCCGCGGGCAATGCTAGTATTTCTATAAGCCACTAATATGTCACCTAAATTACAGTAATAAAGGTAAAATATCTTATCTTAATTTACGAAATAATTACTTTTAAAAGTACACATGAACATATAAGACGTATAATATGTGAGTATATATATATATATATATATATATATATATATATATATATATATATATATAACTATTTATATGGCTGGAAGAGATTTCTTCTAGACAGTCCACCTTTGCCCACATTGGTCTCTGTGTTATGTATGTTACATTGTTAATATGCAATAAAGAATAATGGATTCTATTACGCTAATAATATAATACCTATATCTCATTCAATTGAAATAAGTCGTAGGTACGATTCGTATTTGTATTTCACTAAATTTTTTTTATTGCTGACCACTAGCAACTTATCCTCGCTTCGCTCGGGTGTATCTCTAAATACGCAAATGTTCAGAATTTCATGGGCTTTAACCCTAATTCTTTTACCAACATAAAAATCATAACATCAGCTATCTACTGGTGAAAGTCCACTCAAAATCGGTATATAACCACCATACAATATCGGGTGTTACCTTCTCTCTTCATTAGAAAAACCGTTAATTTACAAACACACTTTAACATTAATAAAATATTTAGTAAATATTTAGGTGATATTTTAATGTATCTCCCAAGAATAAATCTACATATAAAAAAATATTATGCGCGAATCTTATATTTTCTATATTACTCAATAGAGACAGAAAAAAATAGTATGAAATTTAATTTTTACATAATTCTGTACATTTGTACACATGTATCGATGTACTAGCGACCCACCCACTATTCCCTCCGGTTCGTCCCTAGGTGATTATTTAAATTCACATAACTTTTTTATTTATTAACCGATTAAAATAAAACAAATAATAAATGTTAAGGGAAGCTTATCATAATACATTAGTGAAAATCGCATCCAAATCGGTTATGCCCTTTCTGAGATTAGCGCGAACGAACGCACAAAAAACAGACAAAAATTCTAAAAATAATTGTTTTGTCCTGTTTGGATAATAAAACCCCAATAATAGTTTTTCTCAAATATCTTACATGTACAGACAGCGGTCAGTAACATTATTATTTTATGTATAGATGTGTAATCTCATCTTCATTAACTAAGCTTACAAAAAAGCTTCTAACTATACTCGTAGTATAGGATATAGTAAAATTTTACGTATGCTAATTTTGATAAAGTTCCATGTTTTAAATTTCATATTGGTTTTCTGATTCTTCCTGCTATCTCAAAATTTAATCTACTTAAGCTTTACGTGTGCTAGATTAGTTTCAACTTAAGAATTTGCCAGCGGAAACATGAATATAAAAATAGAATGCAAAGATCAGATTTCGCTTTTAAATTCTTGGCAAGCTTTAAGTTTATTCTCAGATTTTAAATATTCTTTGAGATAAACATTTGTAAATAAAAGGTGGTATAAATTATTAATTTGCCAAAAGCTTTTAAAGTGGGAATTTGATTTTGTTCTTATATTATGGGTTTAAATATTTGGTAGTATGTTAAATGTTCATGTTATTTGATTGTTTCTAATGTTCTAATTTAAACTATATATGTATAAAAATCAATGGTCGTTCGTTAGTCTCGCTAAAACTCAAAAACGGCTGGACCGATTTCAATACTTCTTCTTTTGTTTTGTTGAGGATGTATGATTTGTTGAGGAGGCATGATTTAAGTATAAAAAAATAGGAAAAACGTAAAAAAAACAGCTGAAAAATCGAAAAGTTCAGAACTGTTTATTTTGTACTTATCTATCTATTCCATACTAACCGTTAAAATGCAGCTAGGGATGAACCCGAGCGAAACGAGGTCGAATCGCTAGATAACATACAATGAATTGTCCTGTACATATTATAAAAAGCGTCTCCAATTCTTCCTCCCTTTCAAAACCAAGATTATGCTTGCTCAGTCCCTTCTTCTCGCCATACTCGACTACGCTGATGTGTGCTATATAGATGTGACTGAGGAGCAACTCAAAAAATTAGAGCGTCTTCAAAATCTCGCTATTCGTTTTATTTTTGGCTTGCGTAAGCATGACCATATCAAACTTTCGTACTCAACTTAAATGGCTCCCAATCCGCCTTCGCCGTGATATGCATATCCTTTCATTCCTCTTCAATATTCTTAATGATCCCCATTCTCCTTCATACCTTTGTTCTCGCTTCCAAATTCTCCCTACTCCCACTCGTTCCAGGCGGCCTTGCATTACTGCGATGCTTGACATACCCAAGAGCAACACTAAGTTCTTTCTACAATCTTTTTCGGTGTATGCCGCATTGCTCTGGAACAAACTTCCGAAAGACATCCAATTAAGTACCTCTATAACTGCCTTTAAAAAGAAAATAAAACAGCACTTTCTCACCCAAGTTATTCCACAATAATTATATTAACTACTATTATTATGCATTATATTATATAATTATGTATTTGTGTATGTAGTAGTATGTACATATGTTATGGTATATAATATGTATAATGTTTTGATATATGTATATATAATATATATTTATTTAAGTATTTACACTTGAGTTACTGCACTTTAGCCTGCATTTTAATACTATCTCTCTAACTCACTTAGGTTGACTGGAAGAGATCTCTTCTAGAGATAAGTCCACCTTTGCTAACTAATTTTATTGTTTGTTACTCTCTGTATTTTACATATAAGTGCAATAAAGAATAGTATAAAATGGTCATATAATTAATTTAATTTAAATATTTGTTTTTTTCTTATTAAACAGCTAATTGTGCGCTGACTTACACGTGGTTTAAACATCAATAAAAAAGGATTATAAAAAATTGAAAACGCTTGTATGTATGTACGTACGTGTATTTTCTATACTATTGTTGCTCCTTCACGCTGCAATCCATTCAGTATTTGGTTAAAAAGCACAGATAGACTACGGTAACACAGTACAGTTAGTTACCTGAAGTAAAACACGCTACTATTAGTAAAAAAATGCCTATAGGGTAACCCATGGACTTACCCAAACGTAGCAAGGGTCAGTCGCTAGTTACATAATCTACACTAATATTATAAAGAGGAAAGATTTCTATGTTTGTAAGGAATAAACTCAAAAACCACTAAACCGATTTAGATAAAAATCAAAATAAATCCGCAAAATAATCCGAAAAGATAGTTTTATTTAAAATGTCAAATATTCGCGTAAATCTAAGAAAGTATTAGATAAAATTTAGTAAGAATATAGTTTGAGACCCTGGGAATGACATAGAATACTTTTTATCCCAGAAATCATGTCTCAAGGGGGTGAAAATGGGGATGAAAGTATGTATGAGAAATCAATCTAGGGATGAACCCGAGCGAAGCGAGGTTGAGTCGCTAGTATGTAATAAAAAAACTTTTAAGAATATACCAAAACTAAAAATACTTTTATGAAAAAACTCCGTTCAACATATAAACTTTGCCATCGACTGGAAACCGAACACACGACAGTTAGCGTACACGTAATTCTTGCACAACCTGTATTTACAGCTTGATGTTTGTTTATCACCATTGGGTGTGATCGAAAAATATACTTAGTTTCGTGAATATTGAAAAGGAATTCTGTACTATTTTTCTGGTATGAATAATTAATTTCGTTGCAAAAGTTTACTCCTTTTTTTCTTGAAAAGGTTAAAGAAGTAAGTATATATAGAAATACTATACTTATACTTATCCTGCCTTCGTGGTGTAGTGGCTAGCATGTACGGCTGCACACCCGGAGGTCCTGGGTTCGAGTCCCGGGTCGGGCCAAGTTTGGTCATTGAGTCTTTCTGTATAAGTAAGCCTCAGTAACAGCCCGGAGTTGGGAAGTTGGCGGTGTTTCACCCCCGTGCCTCGGAGAGCACGTAAAGCCGTCGGTCCTGCGCCGACACTCTCACCGGTCGTGTCGAGTGGTCGTCCCACCGGAGTATGAGAGTGACAGGAATAGAGAGTGTACGTTGTGTCTGCGCGTACACTTGTGCACTATAATATCTCCTGCGCAGTTGGCTAGTCTCAATGAGATTGGCCGCCGTGGCCGGAATCGGTCGGGAGAACATCATCATCATCATCATATAGAAATACTCTTGAGATTTAACCGATATTTAAAAAAAAACATTACAATTGGTTCACAATTATTATTCGTGGAGAAATCGCATTACATACACACACGAATAAAATACCTATTTTTAAAGTCGGGTGAAAATGGCCGTTGATTCAAATATTGTTTAATTTAATAATTATCACATCCATCATAATATCAATAAAGTAATACAGTACATACAGTAATACACTGATACAGAAATAGCATAAAAACTTAAAAATAAATAAAAACCGACTTCCAGGCACCAAAATGTAAAAAAACAGATATTTTCGAAGTCGGTGCCAACCGATGAAAAGCAAATCTAATATATTTCGATACGTAAAACACATAATATTTACCTATTAGATATTCATATCTTAAAATATTGTGGGCTGACACCGACAGTTATTTTTTACATTTTAGTGCCTGGAAGTCGGTTTTTTTAAGTTTTTATTTTTCCATTTTTAGTGTAGATGTAATAGCAGCTAATTTGTTAAAAGAAAGTTTTTTAATAACATGTTCGATTAAGCAATTTATTTTAAAAAATAATTTATTTTGTTGATTTAAAAAAAACCGCTAGACCGATTTTGATAAAATTTATGTGGGACCACCTGGAAAGTATACTCTTCAAAACGAAAATAAAAATTTTCCAAATCGCTCGAGGCGTCTTCGAGTAATCGGTGAACATACATAAAAAAAAAGATTCCGACGAATTGAGAACCTCCTCCTTTTTTGGAAATCGGTTAAAAAGTAAGATGGAAGTATATAATATGGGGCCCTTTTGTAATACTGTAATAAGAAAACTATACCTTACCTATAAGTCAATTGGTTAATTCTGTACGAAATATAATCAAACAATGTCTTTATTATTGGAGCTGTCACATAATGGGTTAGATTCTTATTAAATTATCTTTATTCTGCGTGACACTGTCGGAGTAATTTGTACTCAACTAGCAAGTTTCGGAGCCATTAGCAAGAGAATTGAATTGAACTGACTTATTAAATTACTCACATCTGTTAAGACCACTTACTATCATTTACGACCAAAATTAATTGAAAAAAAATTTACACCAGAGACAGAAAATTTATTGAATATTTACATTAGTTATTACACCAAATAACTATCGGTATATTAAGAAATAATAAAATACTTCATAATAATTTCGGCCGAATTATTATATCTTTATATATATAATTATTGTCACTGAACTTCTCTCAAACGACTGGACCGATTTTGATGAAATTTTTTGTGTGTGTTCAAGGGGATCTGAGAATGGTTTAGATTCACAATTTGAATAATAATTTTCATCAAAATGGTCCAGAATGTTTTAGCTTATTAAAAAAAGTTTGAAATTTTCAAATTAAAGACGTGTAGACAGGACAACGTCTGTCGGGTCAGTTAGTACATTAATATATTATTAGGCAATGATAGATTAGAGGTAGCGCGGTCGCTTGGGAAACGGAGTGAAGCGTGTTCAACACATGTATCTCACATCTATGATATTTTGATGTGCGAATCATTTTCAATAATGATTACCTCTTGACTTACGGTGAAGGAAAACATTCTGAGGAAACTGCTTGTCTGAGAGAACCTAGCTAGTTTTCAAAGACATGTGAAGTCCGCCAGTTTTTTTTTATCTCAATTGTAGTAAAGTCCCGTGCCCAGAAGTGGAACGCTAAAATAAGGTTGAATAAGACACGAAACAATATAAAGCATTAAAATAAACTAAAAATTATTTCACAACACATAAATATCGCATTACTTCGAACAAACTGTACAAAACCTCATTTTGATTTCTCGAAGTCAGAATGCCGTAGGAAATGTTGATACATTCACCTTTCTATTTTCTATGCCGTTAAACGCTGTACGTGCTAGTTTTATTGTCACTGCAAATCGGAACTAACGTAACGTCAGCGTAGCGCCACATTTTTACATTAAGGTAGATGGTGCGGCGGCGTCGCGTGAAATCGTATAGTTGTAAAGGTTAGGATACACTGTAGGTATATATGTACATATATGTAAAAAAATTAGACTACTGTTAAAAATGAGAAAATTTGTATATTCCTTCACGCTGTAACGGCTGGACGGGTTTGTCTAAAATTTAGTACATGGGTAGATCATGAACTGAAATAAAACATACAACAACAGGCTACTGTTAAGTCTAGACATTAAAAAATCGTATTTATTTATTTTTTCAATAGAGATAAAAAAATTTAATGTCAATCTTTTTAAATGCGAATTATTTGAGATTTTTGCGCGCACAAAGTAGATGTATGTATTATATTAGTTAACTAAATAGAAATAAATTATACGGAGGCGGATTCGTAGTCTAGTGTTTGTATTACCTTGTTTGCGCGAAAAATATATAAGTTTCATCTAAAATGCTCAAACATTCCATATGATGATGTTCTCCTAGCCGATTCCGGCCACGGCGGCCAATCTCATTGAGATTAGCCAACTGCGCAGGAGATATTATAGTGCACAAGTGTACGCGCAGACACAAGTGCACTCTCTATTCCTATCACTCTCATACTCCGGTGGGACGACTACTCGACACGACCGGTGAGAGTTAAGGCGCAGGACCGACGGCTTTACGTGCTCAACATTCCATATAAGGAACTATTATCATGAAGTATTGACCGTTTTTATTGTAACTAGGAATGTTGTCTAAAAACTTTTTGTTTATCAATGTATATATAATACTGTAACACTATTATAATTGCAAAAAAGTGTATTCCTTTTATGTTTGTTACTCCATCACTCTAAAACTGCATGATTTGAATTAAATTTGCTGCATAGATAGACTGTGACCTACAATACAAAGGCAATTCAGATACATCTTATTATGCTCCCGGACAAAACGAGGGTAAGTCGCTAGTTAAAAATAAAATAAAATTCAACAAATAAACCATCGTAAACTCACCCTTACTTCTGTCAGGTAGAATCTAGCGAGTAGCGACAGTACACGGTGACAGTGTCGCGCGAACAAATTACAATTCTAACTCGCCGGACACGTGCCGTGTTTACGTATTAAGTTACAACCCCCTGTATATTATTATGTAAGTATATATTTAAGTCATTTTTCAATAAAGTTTTTTTCATTTAATTAGAGTTTTTATCCATACGAGCCCATGTTATTAAAATTCTAAATGAGTCGTATCTGTACATTAAATATTTTTTAGAAAATCTTATTTGAAATATGTAGTCATTATTAATCGATATAGATGCCGAATCTATAGTTTTTAGAATTTTTGTCTGTCTGTCTGTCTACCTGTGACCGCATAACGGGAAAACCACTGAACAGATTTTGACGAAATTTGGTATGATGAATGATGATACCTGGTCATCCGCGTCAACATATAGGATACTTTTTACTGCGGGAAAATATCTCATCTCTGAGAAACCTATACTAAATATTAAAATGTACCCAGTATGAATATAAATGTTTGTCTAATTGGCTTTATTGAAGAATCTCAACTGTCGAAGAGGAGAAAATTATGATAGGTTGTTGTTAATAAAGGCTTTATTAAGATTTGATCGAATTTAAATTATTTCTTATAGAATGCTCGTAGGGCGTAAAGTAATAAAAAATGCCGTGTACTCTACACAAGTGGCATTAAATAAAAACAAGTATTTAGAAAACATTTGCTACGCTGAAATAAACAAGAAAATATGAAAATTCTTTTTAGGATTTTTAAGTATCAATGTAAAAATATGGTTAGATAACTAAAAAGTATAACAATATATTTTATATTATGTCAATTTATATAGATATAGAAAAAAAAGTTTTGTGGTTGATACGAAGATTTCTTATCTCTTATAAAATAAAAAGTCTCATCGAAATCGATAGATTCATTTTCAACGAAATAATGAAGTTGCATCCGATGACATTTTTATCTTTAGATTTTTTTTTGATATTTTTATATATATCATGTTAGAAGAGAAATGTAAGAAAATATTAAGGTTTTAATATATTTAAAATTATTTGTTTATAGAAAATTTTAACTTTCTCAGCACAGCGCCATCTCTGTATTTCAATTACATTTACTAAGCTTTAGTTTCGTAGTACTAAAGCGACATCTATTCACTTTCAGTCACTTCAGGATACGCTCCCGCCCACCCACTTCACAGTTCTAACATCAGCACATAGATGGCGTTGGAACGAAAAGTGTTTTTCATATTATAACAAAAATGTAAAAATTGAAAATTTCTAAACTATTATATTTGAAATGAATATTAATTTCTATGTATTTTAAAAAGCTGCATGTGTTTCGTAATAAGACATCCAAAAAGACCGAGTTGTTTTAACCATCCAATTTATTGTGTTAACTACTTTATAGCAGGTTGATTTTAACGCTTTAGTTTATTTATGCTGTTAATTTTTTGAAGTGAAAACTTCTATATGCAGGTTTGGATGGGAAGTAAATTCATGTAAGTCGTCATCGACATGGTCACGTGACGTATTAACGCTAACACTCAGAGTGCCGATAGACCAGATAAATGTAAACAGTTTTCATTTACAAATTTTAATTTAAGATCAAACAATTAAGTAATTTGAATATCCAAAAGTGACAACTGTTTGTAGTAGTTTTAAATTTTCACTCCTGTCGGTAGTCCTCATGACTGCTTTTTATTTTATTACACCGAATTTTAACTTTCAACTATGAATATTTTTTTTAAATCTACATAATTTTGCCCTTAAAATACTTACTAACAGCAAAGCTTGTTTAGTATGTAAGTTTTATTAAAGTTGTTGGGAAAATTTTAAGTTTATACACTATATATTATATGGTTTAACTTTATAATGTTAAGCTGTCATGTACACTGAAACTTTACTAGATACTTGACAGTGTGCTGTCAAGTATAACTAGAGAAGAACTATATCATTCTATGATTTTTACTTAGTAAACTGCGCCCAATGGGCAAGCCTTCAAGCTACGAATAAATAGGTATTTATTTATTCGTATCATATTTATTTA